CGTCTCTTTCTACTCGTATGGTGTGACACTTCATATTTTAATGTAATATACAGGTCACTTCGTCTCCGAACACTACATGTTCCGCAAAGGCTATGAGACCTACTCGTACTACGGGCCTTTGAACTGGATTACCTTCAACGTTGGATACCATAATGAACATCATGATTTCCCTGCAGTGCCTGGAAGCAGGCTACCTGAGGTTAGTTATGCTCTGCTACCTTTTTACGGGTTTAATACCTTATAATAATAATTTTATACACGGTTATTTGTTAAATATGAACAATCTCGCAAGTCTGTATTACTAACATCGTAAACAACAACTTTTGGTCCATGACATAATTCGTTCGATTTTAATATCGTATAAATATAAAATTATTCCACTTCACTTTTTATTTATGTGGCTCCATCATTATTGGAAATGATGACTTTGCCAATGTCATGGTCGAAAGAAAAAAAATACAATGAGCTCTATTGTGACATTAAGGGTCGTACTCCAGTGCTTGAAATCATACTCGAGTCCTGACTTGAGCATTGAATAGAGTTCATTAATTGATTAGAATTCGAGTTGTCAAAAATTAAATAAATGATTGGACGGAGTATAGTGATTGCAGTCGATAAATATTGTATCTATCGAGTCTAAGAGGTTTCGCGATTGTTACACATAGGAAATGAAACTATTTTTCCGGATTTAAATCGCGTATATTTGTTTTTTTCAAACAAATATACGCGATGGGCCCTTTACAGGTACCTGTAAAGGGCCCGAAACGTCGGTTTGTTTGAAAAAACAAATGTACGCGATTTAAATCCGGAAAAATAGTTTCATTTCCTAAATATTGTATCGTTATAACTGAACGTTGGTTACGCTTATGAAATAAATAGGCGAAATATTTAATTTGATTCATCATCTATCCACAATACGCCCAACTGCTGGGCACAGGTTCACTTGAATAGTTGATTTTTTAAAATTCATTCATATATATGAATGATGCACAAAATTTAATGTTATGTATATTAAAAATACAAATAGGAGACGTATTTTAAGGTTTTCAGTTCAATTTAATACACACAATTAAATCCGCCTGTCGATATTAATAATAATAACGCACACGTAGCCCCGCACTAGGGAAACCCTGAGTCGCGGGTGCCATGGACACACGCATAGACAACCCACTAATTACACCCAAACTCACGAGAGAAACAAATGTAGGCCATACAAATATTTCTCCCGGCTCGGGAATCGAACCTGGGACCTCTGCGTGGTAGTCTGGCATGGTAACCGTTCGGCCACATAGGCAGTTAAAATGTGTATGACTGAAAATTTATTTTCATACTAATAGACCAAACTTCTACGTTACCTGCTTCCACTTGTAGGACAGTTACGTAGCTGCGTAGCCGTAGAACATCACTTGTGCTGTATAGTATTTTAAAATGTTACAAGTATAAAAAACCTCCAGTTTTCTGCAAATCTTCAGATTACATTTGCTGTACATTAATATTTAGTATTTAATTCTTTCAAATTACAGGTAAAACGCATAGCTCCGGAATTCTACGATAATTTGCCCCAACACAACAGCTGGTCTGGAGTACTTTGGGACTTCGTCATGGATCCTGACGTCGGGCCTTATGCTCGTATCAAGCGTAAGCACCACGGACTTGATAGCTAAATAAACTAAACTAAAAACAATATGGAATAATCAAATTGCACTACTTGGGTAAAATTTTTTTTTTTTAGCCTATGGGAAATGACTATTAATGCTGACGGGTGACATTTTAGTCAATAGATTAATGTTTTATAGTGTATGGGGTAATTTTTTTTTAATCAGTTGATTATTTCGCACATGACATCAAATACTGGCCTAACTCAAAAATGATGGAATTGAAAAAAAAAAACACGATTTAATAAAAAAATCTGAAAGAATGTTATTGCGAATAGTGGGTATATTTTTATTTATATACAGCCTTATTTGTAATATTTTATATATTAAAATTTGCTAAATAACATATTATATTATATGTTTTTACAAAACATAATAAAATTACCAAAAATAAACTTTTTTTAATTGTTTTAATTTTTTAATTTTTATTGAGTGTCGCAATATTAGACCATGATATTCAAATATTTCTGTGAAATTACTCTAGTAGTTTGTTATAATTATTCATCTTAACATTATGGTACATTATTGCAGTGGCCGGGAAATAAGGGAAGCCTTTTATTAACATGAACCAAGCATTCCCCGTTCCCGCCGAGACATGTATAGTGCTTTTCTCAAACAATGTGAGGAAATTATAAAATACTAAAGAGAGGGAGATTAATAATAGAAAAAGTAATTAATTGACGAATTTTAGCCAAAGCTAATATTGCCTCTTGTTTTAAATTTGGCGGCGTACAATCCAATACTTTATTTTAGCTGTCGTACTAGAACTCATTTTCACAAAGATAGAACACTAAGAAAAAAGGTATTTGATTCGGCTTAATTCGAACCAGGGTCTTCCATCAAAACCGTGCTGCGGGCACAGTTTTGATGGCACCGCCGTTCTAGCTGTGGTGATTTTTTCTCACTGTTCGATTTTTGTATAAATAATTTTAATGTTTTGGTTTGGAACTACATGACACTTTTTAGATCTGTGCTTGGTACTAATCCTCGATGACCCCCACCCGCGCTCTTACAAGGAGTTGTCACCGTTTAGAACAATTTATTTAAATACTTTTATTTTTGTTTAAACAAAATTTTATGAATTGTTAAAAGTCGTGAACCGAAAGTTGTTGTTTATAACATACAGTCCGAGGTTGTTTGTACTTTAAAAATAACCCTGTTAATATTAGTTATCTACTTATAAACGAGTATATAAATCTATTGGTACGATTTAAGGATTTTTTGAACTTCGAAATCGCGTTTTCTCAATTCCATCATTTTTTAGTTAGGACATTGTTTGGTTTCATGTGATATTTGTAGCCGTTGTATCGGTTTGTTACGCAGATGATGCAATTTTTTTTAGCTACCTCGAGTAGCTTATTGTTTTCGAAAGTTATATACGTTTGGATATATTTCAACACCGGAACGTTAAAACGTTTAACGTGCATTTGGAAAATATTACAACGGAGCGATTTAAAGTATTTTTTTTTTAAGAAAATGTAAAATCATAACTAATTTTATTTGTTACATGGAAAATCTGAAACTTTCTAGTTTTCCATATAACAAATAAAATTAGATTACTAAGATTTTTCGAGAAATAATTCCACAAAGACCACAAGAGAATTTCTACAACTCGATAACTTGGTAAGAGTAATCAGTATTGCTGTACCGTCGGTGCAGCATGTTTATAATCTTTTTTTCTTTAAAAATATCTTTAATTCACTGTCCTGTAATATATTTCAAATGGACGTAAGACATTTTACCTTTGCAGCGTCGTTTTATACCTATGGTTTTCTTCAAAATGCTATACCAATTGAAACCAAGTAGACAGTGAGCCGGCAATACAGGAACTTCCCTCATTGAGTTATAGTACTCGCAACTACACATCAAGTAATACACTTTTGTCGAATATCGCCTCTTAAGCAACGGAAGAAGATCCGTCGATGTGTATTGTGATATTCTGCTGTCCATCCTGCTCTCCTTATCATAACTTACGTAATCGAATTTTTAGCGAAATTGAGGTACTTATTAACAAAAAAATATATGTTTCGCACCCCTTATGGAAGAATGGCATAAGTGAAGTTACGTCAAAAATGTTTATTGCTCCATTGGATACAGAAAAATATAATCCACATCGAATCCGAGAAATAACTAATTTCGCTTGTACACCTAGACATAAAATGATCTCTGTGATGTTTCGTACCGTCATTTGGATTCGGAGCTGATATGACTCGGAAAACACTCTAATTGATATTTTGGAAAGAAAAAAGAACTAAGTGCCAATATCTCGCAAATTACTAAAATGAAAATGCGCTAGTTATGCCAAGGATTGCGTACTTTGGCTAATTCTTTGAGTTGGAAGATAAGGTGGGAGGTGGACCAAAGTAACCTGACTTCGACCCACGAGCAAAACAGTATTATTGAGAGATCAATCTAAAACACTGAAGTAAATTTCTTTACTACCGCGTCACGGTTACCGTTTGAAATAATAGTCTTTTTTTTTAAATCGATTTTGAATCAACTTTTCTTTAAAATATTTTTCTTTTGTTTATAATCATTTTTAGTTTTTTATTAATATGTGTATTTTTTTAATTTACCGTTTACAAGACTTGGTTTTTTGCTAAGATTCCGAATTTTACAGACCTAATTGCTTCTATTAATAATATGAACACTGATCGATTACTACTTGTTACAAGTTTCTTACCACGGTATGACGGTATATAGCCTTAAACTTTTCAGATATAAGTGATATTCCCTACCGCTGTGTGTAGCGAAAAATACCTCACGGTATCCCGCCAGGTATTGGTAATTATCATGTTAATTTTCTGAGTGTGTTTACTCTGATCGCGTGGACCATGATCTGTAGCTCAGTTGATAAGAGCAATGATACGGTGCAGCATGGTCGGAGGTTCAAGTCTCATTGACGCCCAGAGACAACTGTCATTGTAATCTCATGGTAGTAGCACATACCTTTATTCTTCTTTGATATTTCAGTGCGGTGTCACGCTTCATGTTCTCTAGTTGACTGTTAATTGTCAGGTGACAGCTTAAGGCTGTCTTTCGTGTGTGAGTGCGAGGAAAAAACCCACCAATAGGATTACTATATTTCTCTAACGGGAAAAGGGTTAGCGGAGCTAAGTACATACAAAAAAAAAAAAATATTGTCACAAAATAGATTAGATGAAGTCCCTGACTCTTGAGCTAGGTATAACCTGTGTGACAGGAGCCAGTGCCCTCTCCCAAATTTTGACATGGCTTAAGTCTATTTCATGAGAAAAATATAAATTAAAAATTTAATACAAAAAAATAAAGTGAAAGAATCTATTATTAAAAGTCTCGATAAAAAGTACTCTAAGTAATAATTATGTAACAAATTGGATACATTGTAATATGCAAATTGTGATAAATATATCTATGTAATTTTGTGTACGAGTGTGTGTGTGTGTGAGTGGGTGTATGTGTTTGTCTGAGTTAGTGTGGGTATTGGAATATTTCGTGATGGAAAATTTATGCCATATAAACAAAAAACAAAAACAAAAAATAATAAAGAGAGGTGTGTGCGGGGAATGTATGCAAAATGGTGTAGGAAACTAGAGCTACTGAAGGTATGACACTAACTGACACTGACACATCGCCACCGCTCACCCCATCTCACCGTACCCCGCCCGCGCATAGTTGAAACCCGTAACGCATCCTCGCACCTCGCCGCTGCAGATCCTCGCACCGCTTCGCAACCTCGCACATCTCTGGTGGAAAAGCAGCCTTAAAGACCTCGCTGCCTTTATACATTAACACATTAATGCATAATACGAAATTGAACTCTACGACGCGCAGAGCAAGCAAAACTCTGTTGTAAATAAAGTACCCGTTTTAAGCATTTTTGAACGTAAGAAGATGGGTGCTTTAGTCATTGGGTGTTACACATATTGTGTGGTATAAAGGCAGTGACATCTGTCTACTCTTGTCGGCTTAAAGCGTTAGTCGAATCCGCGACTATACAAATCTAGGAAACTCGGACCCACTTCGGATAAGAGAAAATTAGAATATCCTTTAAACATAAAATGATCCCTGTGATATTTCGGACCGTCATTTCTCGGATTCGGAACTGGGGGTCTACTCTCGATGTCCGTCCGACACCCGTCCGAAACAATTACTGTCAAATAAGTAATATTCGTCAAAATTAAAAGAAAAGTATAAAGTATGAAACTTCATTCGCATCACGCGTCTTTTCATTTGCTCAAGTATTGCTTTTTTGGCAGTAATTGTTTCGGACGGAAATCGAGAGTAGACCCCCTGGTACGAATCGGACGTAGTTCGCAAATGCTCTTAGTATGGTTACTCCCTTATTCTCCACATGCCACACTGCTGCATCTACTACACATGACACTACTAGATTTATGTGTGACGTTGAAGTAGAACCATTTTGTCTGTATTTAAAACTGTTAACTGGCAGTAAACTCGTGACCATGGAGCGTGAAGAAACAGATCAGGACAAGAAAGTTATACCAAGTAACTTGCAATTAGGAATAATCGTTTTGTGAATAAATATTTCGTGAAATTTGTTTTTTTTGTTTGTATTACCAGTATTGATGTTGAAAATCAGTAGCGCCATCTTTTGTTAGAAATGTAACATGTCAATCTTTCAAAGTTGATTTGGTACCAGTGAATGGGAGATATTATTTTTGTAAGAACATATTATATTAAGTCAATTATTGTATTAACAATTTTTTTTGTGTAGTTTTTTAAGTCGTGTTGTTTCTGGGTTTTTTTACATTTTAATTTTGTGTAATAAGTGCAGCGGTCGATAGCTTAATGATATATCACAATCATGAAGTGCCGAGAAAAGCTGTATTTTAGTAACCAATACTATTTATTTTGTTTTACTAATGCGGTGTATAATTGTCAAAAATTATAAAATTCTACAAGATATTTGAAACATTTATAGCTCCTTGTAGACGAACTGACAACTCCTTGTAGGCGAACTAACAGCTACTTGTATATGAAGTGACAGCTCCTTATACCTGGGGGTCTACTCTCGATCTCCGTCCGACATCCGTCCGAAACAATTACTGTCAAATAAGTAATATTCGACAAAATTAAAAGACAAGTATCCAGTATGAAGCTTCATTCGCATCACGCGTCTTTTCATTTGGTCAAGTATTGCTTATTTGGCAGTAATTGTTTCGGACGGAGATCGAGAGTAGACCCCCTGAACTGACAGCTGTCAAAGGCTCAGCA